TCTATCATGAATAAATAAATAAAATCTAAAAAAACTAAAAAATAAAATAAAATAAAATAAAATAAAAACAAAACCCTCTGAGTCAAGGCCCAGAATCAAGGATGTTGGTCTGGCATCGGAGAAGGAGGACGGTCCCTGACTGTAGGTGTGAGGAGAGTTTGCTCACCTCCAGAAGGGCGAAACCACACTGCAGCCAGCCCCATGCTTGGCGTCACTCCGCGGGAGGCCAGCCCACGACCGTCTTTAAAAGTGGCTACTTTAGGGGCGTCTGGGTGACTCAGATGGTTAAGCATCTGCCTTTGGCTCAGGTCATGATCTCGGGGTCCTGGGATAGAGTCCCGCATCTGGCTCCCTGCTCAGCAGGGAGTCTGCTTCTCCCTCTACCTGCCGCCCCACCCCCCCGCTTGTGCTCTCTCTCTAATAAATTAAATCTTTAATAAATAAATAAGTAAAAGTGGCCACTTTATCACAACTCTAATTGTCTTGACCACGCCATCCAGTTCCATCTTTGCTTACCTACAGAACACCTCAATCTCTCCAGGTGGATGGCCTCTGAGGCCAAAGGAAGCCCCTTATCATATCTCTTTCCAAAGAACAACATGGCACCAGGGCTCTGCTGGTCATGAGAACAGAACCACAGCCATCCTGCGAAGCGTTTCAGTATTTCATCTACAACACAACATGGACTTAACCATTTCTCCCATCCTCCTTGATCGCTTCCTTGCTAGAACCTTTATATTATGAAGTCTTGGTTTATGTGCCCTGGTTTCTGGGAGTCTCACCTCTCCACTCCTTCTCTTTTGTTTAAAGTAACTTTTTATTCCCTCCGTTATTTTCAATGTTATCTTTAAAATGGTCTTTTTTACATGCTACTCTGGGTAACTCCATATCCATAATGCTTAGATATCCTCCTGTTTCCCAAAATGTCAAATCTAAACCCCTGATTTTCTTAGTTCTTTAACCCCATTAAACCGTGGCCTGGCTTCTTCCTGCCGTGTGTCCATTTCCAGCGCTGCCTATCTGGACCCAGCTCTGCACAATCTCACGCCCCCGGGCAACCAGCAACCACCATGAACTGTCAACTTTCTTTCAGGCTTTGAAACTGTACTTAAGATAAACTTGATCTACAAAATGTGCCCTACATAATGATAGCTATATTCTAACCCTGGTTGGTGACCAAAATCTCCCACAGACACCCCCACTGGGACCGCCACAATCCTGCCATATTTGGGCATTTTAATTCATGTTTGTAGCTCAGTTTCTGTTCTTTCTTTTCTTGTATATATGGATTCTTTATTAGTTATCCATTTCAGAGCAGGAAATTTTCAAGTAACAACATATCTGGAGTTAAAATACTGATAAAATTGACCACAGCTAAGATGGTCTTGATGAAGAGGGAGAGGTGAACCCCTTCAGACACAGCATGTAATTCGGAAGAAATCTAGAATTGCTGACTAGACTGGGCACATCTACAGCCAACGGGCTCTGTTTAAACATACCTCTTGGAGGCTTTGCCGATGACAGAGAAGAACTACAAACCACATCGGATTTATCCGTCCCATGATGTACTTCTGCCTCTCCAAGAATGCTACAGCTGTAGAGGTAAAGGTAGTTAAGTGCTTTGCTTTTATAATCTTTCTTAAAAAACAAAACAAAACATGCTACTAAAAGGCTCTACTCTGCTAGATTGCTAGCTTCTTCAGGAGAAGAACTGAGAGGTCTTCCTGCATGTTTGAATTCCCAGTGTCTGTCCACACGTCGGAAGGGTGGACCAATGAATACGCAAAAGTAAGCACCACCAGGATTCTCTAAGAACCACTCTGACACTATGGTCCAAAAGAGCGTGTATTGGTGTCCTCGGTGAAGAAGATTCCAAATGCCTCAATTGCCTTTGGTAGAGTGATAAACTTTTGATGAAAGCTCTTTTGAAGCTGAAAACACAAAAAATCTTTTCAACATCCAATAAAACTTGGATAAGTGGATCAGAAAATAAGTATCTAATGAGAATTAATATATTGCGGGGGGACGCCTGGGTGGCTCAGTTGGTTAAGCATCTGACTCTTGGTTTCAGCTCAAGTCATGATCTCAGTGTAGTGAGATCGAGCCCCGTGTCAGGCTCTGCACTCAGCAGAGAGTCTTCCTGAAGATTCTCTCCCTCCCTCTCCCTTAGCCCCTTGCCCCCACTCTCTCTCTCTCTCTCTAAAATAAATAAATAAACCTTTAAAAAAATATTGGGACTATATTAGTATTTAATTATAAGCATGCAATGGAAGGACCCAGAAATTCCTCTCTCTATATAGATATATATGTATATATCTATATATATATACACACACACACACTATATACATATAATTCCACTACACACACACACATACACACATACTCACATTAAGTGTGAAACCCAGTATATATATATATATATATATATGATGATTCATTGCAGAATTATTTATTACCATGACAGATTAGAAACTACCTGAATGACTACCAATAGGGAATTTATTAAGTAAAATTAAGGTACATCTTTATGGTACATCTCTACCAAGATAAATTTCGGTACAAACCAAGAGTTGGCAGCAAATGTCTTCTAAGCTACAAGAAGCCATGAAGATCTAAGTGAACAAATACAGAATGAGCTTCCTTTAGCATATATTATGTTAAAAAAACCCAAGGTGTTTAGCGTATGCAAACATTTATATACACAGGATACCTCTATTTGCACACACACTACACACACACATTTCTGGACCAACAAACCAGTGATGCTGGGAAGCATGGGAGTGGCGAGTGAAGGATAATAAACATTGTAAATCATTTTCAAGTAACCAAAGTTAGTAAAAGGACAAAAGAAGCTGCAACTGTAAGTCAAAGATTCGGTCCAACTGAATCTGAAAAGCAATATGGAGTTCCTATCGCACATGAGGCTGAAGGTGAGTTGGACTGGCTTATTTTCCCCATGCCGAATTGACAGAATTTTCCCATTCTGAAACTGGGTTTGAGCGGAAGCCTCACCAAATGGAATCAGTCCGGTTTCAACCTAGTCTGAGACAGTTCAGGTTGAGTATAAAATCAACACACTCTCCTGGCTCCTCTGCAGTTGCCACTTACTTGGTCCAGGGTTTGCATTTCTCGGTGGAAGAAAAGGCATCAGAGAAGTAGCCCACTAGGCAGGGCTTGCAAATAGTGTCCTTGTTGAGCTGCACTGTCAAAAAAACGAACGGACAAAGGACAAGCATAACAAACAAGGACACTTAGAGATCGGCCAGGATGATGTTCCTGAGGACCAGAGATCAGGAGCTGCCCCCTGTGCCTCTGGCCCCCCATTCCCATCCCTCTCCTCCTGGCTTCAGAGGGCCCCCGGTCCCAGCAGAAGGTTACAGACTTGTGTTCAGCAAGGTAACGAACATCAGTATTTGAGTTAGGTACTGACCCTTGGCTGTTCAGAGCCACTGTCCTGGTCACCGATCCTCTGTTTCCTAGCTGGGGAGCCTGCTGTCTCCTTTATTTTCACCAGGCACATGTCTGCCCACCCCTTTCAGCCTTTTGGGATTGTATCAGTCTTTGTCTACAGAGAATCACAGCCCTTTTCCTGCCTTGAAGGGAAACTTCCTGTCCTGACTCCTTCTAACCCAGATAAGTCTTCAAACACTAGAGTGATGGTAACACACTTTTCTCAAACAAAAACAAGCCCCCCTCAAAAAAAAAAAAAAAAAAAAACCAACCCTATAGGTCTCTCTCTTAAACCAAGAGTTGGCAGCAAATGTTTTCTAGAAAAGGCCATACAGTAAATATCTTAGGTTTTGCAGGGCCTCTGATTCCTGCTGTAATTACTTGCAGCATGAAAGCATCATAGACAATATGTAAACAAAGAGACGTGCCTGTGTTCCAATTGAACTCTATTTACACCAACACAAGTGGTGGGATGGATTTTGGATCCCTGCCTTAAGCCACAGCAGTGAAAACAGGAATTGATCCTGGTTAGGAAGCTTTCTTTAGTTCTCTCACATTCCTCATCAACTACATTATCAAAATAGGACATGTCTCCAATTTCCTACATCTACTAGCCTCACTGCAACTGACACGTGATGACCCTTTGGTAATTCCGATAAAGAAGAACATTGGCTTCCACATGGTATCATAATCAGGCAATTGACTAGTGCCAAAACCACAATTTACTCCTGAAATTAGTAGCACTTCTGTGATTTATTGTCATAAATAAAACACTAAAATAAGGAATTACATTTTCTTTGTCCAAAGTCAAATGGGAAGTGCATTCTTAATTTCTGCAATTGCCTCAATAAGCAGGGCCCCCCCAATCTAGTAATCTGAGTCACCTTGTAATGATCTTAACAAAAGCCCAGTTAACATCTAGCTGCTCACATGAATTCAAACAGCTTTTTACAATATTAACACAGTCTAGAAGAGTAACCCTTAAAAACAAAGAGACTTCCTAAGGAGCCACAAGTCACACATAGCCTTAAGGGCATTAAATCCATGCACTTGACTTCCACATTGACTCTTTGAAATGCTGACCTGCCAGGGGCATCCTGCAGGTTCTCCTTTCCCTTTCCCCCTGACACAATCACCCTTCCCCACTTTACAAAAGAAGGCACGCTGCTTATCCACTCCAAATCCTGCTATGCCAAAAAAACAAAAAAATAAAACCCCACAACAAATCAAAATACTGGTAACAGCAAAGCTCCTGCGATTCAGAGCCCCTCCCTACCAAAAGACTCTGGGCCTTGTCTTAGAATTGAATTCATAAGGGAGTTGGCTGTCGTCGGGAGACTTATTTTAATAATTAAAAAATCAACGGATGCCTGGGTGGCTCAGTTGGTTACTCATGATTTCGGCTCAGGTCATGATCTCAGGGTAATGAGATCGAGCCCCGAGTCAGGCTCTGCACTCAGCAGGGAGTCTGCTTGAAGATTCTCTCTCTCCCTCTCCCTCAGCTACTTCCCCCAACTCTCTCTCTCTCTTAAAAAAAAAAAAAAATCAAGTCAGACTTTTTCCAAGAGAAAGCTCATCTGGTTTAGTTGATACATTTGGTAATAAGGACTGACTGTACCAGTGAGACTCTGAGGGACATTTTCCTCCATATGAATTGAAATGAATACTATCTTAATTCTCCTAAGCCTATCCAAGTCTCCTGGGTTAAAACAAGATGGGTCTAAGTGAAAGATTAGCAGGTATGAATAATCATTTGTTACACCTTGAAAAAACTGCTTGGGGGTATTTTCCTGAAATCAGGAAGGTAAAGAACTCTAAGAAATACGTTTCTGGCAAAAAGATATCTATTTCTTTACTTTTAACAAAACTGAGAACACAGATGAGTTCTTAACTGAGAGATCATTAAAAACAGCTTTTGATGTCAGACCACAATGTGTCCTGGACATATAACTCAGAAAGTGTTGAAAGAACTGACTGATACTCCTCTACCCGAAGGCTTCCTTAGCCATTCAGTTATCCATGTGAACAAGTTTCTCAGCACTTAGTGGAAATAGAACTAATGTTGAAATCTGTTACATTTTAGCAATAAATAATATTCAAGCATGAATATATGATCAGGAAAAAAAACACTCATTATTAAGTTCATAAAGCTTTTACAACTATAATATAGGAAAATATATTACTTTTTGACAATCCTGTAATAATTGTAATAACAACTTAGTCCAGAAGTGTTTTAACTCTTAAAACCTTGAGTCACAGGAAATTTTTTAAAATTACGATCTCAAATGGGTACATAGTTTTGATGTGAAAGTGCATGAAAAGGTGATTAGTAAAAGCCCTCCAAGCATAAAAACACATTAGTATAAAATTCTTTGGGGAAGGTGAAATGGATACAAATCAAAGGAAGGGACAAGAACTGTATAAATCTTCCAACAGTGAAGGACGATGAGTGCATTTTAAAAAGGATGATGGGGGCGCCTGGGTGGCTCAGTCGTTAAGCATCTGCCTTTGGCTCACGTTATGGTCCCAGGGTCCTGGGATCGAGCCCCGCATCGGGCTCCCTGCTCAGCGGAGAGCCTGCTTCTCCCTCTCCCACTGCCTCTGCTTGTGTTCCCTCTCCCACTGTGTGTCTCTCTGTCAAATAAATAAAATCTTTAAAAAATAATAAAATAAAAAGGGTGATGGTGTTATCAAATTGCTACGGTGTTTAGATTCCATTGAATTCCATTTTTAAAAGTGTTACTGCTGTTAAAATTCCTTGGAAACTAATTCCTTAGCAACTCTTCAAGTTGGCAATAAAAAACGTTAGCTGCCAACTTAAAAATATTCCAGGGGCGCATGGTTCTTCAAAATTGTTCCGGGGGTGGGGGGAGGGATGTGCGCCAGTTAAAAAAAAAAAAAAAAAAAAGTCTGAGGCCCACTGCATTACCCCTGCCCGCCTAAGGGGGGATCCCAAGGTTTCCCAGAGGGAGGAGCCTTCCGGGGAGCACGTGGGCCGCACGCTCCCATTGCCCTGGAAGAGCGTGACCTGGCCCTTCTCAAGGGGCCCCTCGAGCTACTCCAGCGCCACCTGGTTCCCCGGAGCGTTAGTGACGCAGGGACGCCTCTCCAAGCCCGCTCTGGCCTGGGCGGAACTGCATGAGTTGACGAGCCGCGGGGCGCGCAAGCCGAAGCCGTACCCGGGTGCTGGGCGCCGAAGCCCGGGGCGCACTCCGTGTTGCGGCGGCAACAGTCACAGTCGGCGCTCCAGTGGTAGCCGGCCGTGCATGCGCAGCGCCGCGGGGCCGTCCGGTTGCCGGGCTCCACGGCCACCAGGGCCTTGCCTGCGGGAGACAGAGACACGGCTGCTCACCTTCCACCTCGAGCAACTCCCCAGCGCGGGAGCAACGAGCAGAGCCCCGACACGCGGACGCGGCGCGCAAACGCATCCTTCAGGGCAGTAGGTTTCGAGAACTCCCCAGTCCCCTCTTCCTGTGCTGGCACTAAAACATCCCAGTAGGGTTGGTACCCTCCTCAATAATTAAGAGTCTTGTGGTTTTTTAAAAGTCAATTTTCATATTAGGAGGAGGATTAAGAACTGGAGAGTTTATGATCCTTGACTATTTTGGCTAATGCCAAAGAGACTTCACAGCTTCTTGGTTTTTAGTAAATTCAAATGTGAGAAATATTCTGAACACGAATGCTAGATTGAACCTAAGAGAATAGGGTTCTGGAGACTGGGGATTCATCTTGGGATCCTGCAGGACCACAGGAGTATTCAGAGTTGTGGAAACAGGGGCCACAGGTAATTAGAAAAGGGACCGCACTACAGAGCCTGATGACATGCTTGAAGTGAATCTCCCTAAATACTTAGGGCCACCCATGTGTTACTTGTCTCTTTTCTCACAACACATAGCAAAGTGCTCTCCTTGTCCCAAATCTCCTGCCCTTTCCAGTTTCGGCGGAATAGAGGTCATGCTGACACACACGGTCCATCTTCATTATTTGTTGACTCCTATTTGCAATTTCACCTACTCACTAACATTTCGGTGTCACCCCCAAATCAGTACTTCTGGCACTTTTGCAGAACTTCTTGGACACATGCAGAACAGTGGAAATTTTGAGCTACGGACTGGACATTCATGCTCTCAGTTGAGGTCAAACAAGGTCACCCTCCACCTTCTTGTTACAGCTCTTAGACTGGAAGTGAGCGTCCTTTTTGTGGTCTACTTAGTGTCCCATATGGGGCATTTCTGCTCTTTTTGTTAGCGATTCTACTGCTTACAATGGCCCACAATCATAGTGTTGAAGTGCTGTCTGCTGTTTCCAGGCCCAAGAAGGCTGTGATGTGTCTCATGAGCAAATACATGTTAGATAAACTTTGTTCAGGTGTGAGTTACAGAGCTGTTGGTTCTAAGTTCAATGTTAATGAATCAAAATATTTACTAAGGTGTCTAAACAGAAACACACAAAAAACAAGCTTATGTGTGGATCAGTTAACAAAAATGTTGTGACTAGAGGCTCATGGGAACCTAATCCTGTATTTCCCCTAGGAGCAATGGTTTAGTATTTGCTAGTTCAGAACACTGACATTATTCTATGAATAACAAGAATCAATCTGCACGCATGCACACGCACACACACACACACACGATGAAACACAGTAATATTATTTGAAACAGAACTTCTACCCCTATAGGACCCCCATGTCACCAGGATTGTCCCAATAACCCATGGACTTATACTCCTGAGTCCTTATAGGAGTTTGTTATGGACTGATGTTTGTGTCCTCTCAGAATTCATGTTGAAATCCTAACCCCCAATGTGAGATGGTACTAGAAGGTGCAGCCTTTGGGAGGTGATCAGGCCATGAGGTTGGGATTCGTGCCTTTATAAAAGAAACAGAGGAGAGCCTGCTTCCTCCCTCTCTGTTCTTCACGATGTGGAGACACAGCAAGAAAATAGTGTCTTGAAATCCTAAAGAGGGCTCTCACCATGAACCCAACCATGCTGGTACCCTGTCTCCCACTTCCAGCCTCCAGAACCGTGAGAAATAAATGTTTGTTGTTTAAGCCACTCGGTCTGTGCTATTCTGTTATAGGAGCCTGAATGGACTAGGACAGAGGTCCAGGGGAAAAATAAACAGGCAGACCAGAACCCTGTCTCCTTCCACTGTCTCAAGTTACCACCAGCAGGGAGGGTATGTTTCCTATTTCCATTCTTTTCAGACCAGAGCATGGCAAACCTGGAGAAATCTTCCTGTGTCCCTCCCGTGTCCACTCTCTGAGGGTCATTTGTGCAGCACTGAGGCCAATCTGCATAAACGTGCATAATGCACACAACAGACATGGACAAGAGTCACTCTCTTGGAAAATTCTAGTTCAACCACCCCACTCAATTATGAGTGAATGCAAGCCTGTGTGGTGATGAACAATTGTGACATATTTTAAAATATCTTAATGTACCAGGTTTGGGGCTTTAATCAACTTTGGCAGTAGACAGAATGAATCTTTATTTCCAAGGGGCAGCAGTGAGTCAAAGTCATTACTAAGCAGTGGGAAAGAAAAAAGACTTGATCAGATGCTTCTGCTTAGTGGAGTTTCCATGTTACCTTCTGCGGCCATAATCTGCCAGCTATCTCTTGCCCACTAGAAAATTATGATGTTTAAAAAAAAATACTTAACTCCTAGTTCTGTCCACTGCAGAGAACCTATGAACAAGGATCAATCCGGTAGCAACAAACCTCCCTAGCACCCAGACTGAGGTCGCTAAATAAGATGTTCCACTGGAAGCAATCAGGAATTCTTAAAGAAATGGCTGATTTGAGGTTTGAGGCAGGGAATGTCCAAGATGAACCTGGAAGCAAGGAGAGCTCTTAAGGTCACCTGGGGTCATATCAAAGACTGGGGCGGGGGGGGGGAACCTGGAAGAGGTGAGACAATCTGAGGAACCATAACCTAGGAACTGTAATAGAGTAAAACACCTCAAATATGTCTGAATGGCTGAGTTTATCATTTTTATATAAATCCTTTGGAGAAAGCATGGAGATCAAGTCATGATTTTGAAAAGTTGCAAATAAAGCTACAAGCATTCATTCTGCCTCTCCCGTATATACTGTACTTCAGGGTAAGGGATAGTTGCCGAGGGAAGCTTCTCTTCATAAAGCATTCCAGCCATTCATGAAGAAGGAATGATAGAAGGTCACCTTTCTACAGCTCCTCATGAAAGTGGATCTAGGCCATGATGGTCAACAGCAGTTCATATCACAAGAAGAGAGAGAAACAGCTTCTATATACTACATAACTACATTATGCCAATTCTGGTTTTGCAAAAAAATAAATAAAAAATACAAACCAGGTTCTGATCGGCCTTCTAGATCCAACAACCACTTATAGGAAATATAGGAGACAGAAAATATGTTAAATGACACCAAGGGAATGCAACCAGCAGAAATCAGACTGTGACCCACAGGATTCCTGTAATCCACAGGATTCCTGTAATCCACAGGATTAACAACATGGTTTCTCCAACAGAGAGATTAAATGGGGAAAAAAAAAAAAAAAGAAAGAAAGAGGGAAAGGAACCTCTAGGTTAAGGGACATATTTTGATTCTGATTCCTACAATTAAACTATAATTTGGGAAAAATTTTTTGAGTCCAAAAACAAAACAAAACAAAACAAAACTGTAGCAGTCTGATAAGATCAAACTGTAGAGTTAGTAAGACATTTATGGTTCAGGAGAAAGACTTGAGAGTAAGATCTGCTTTGAATCCTGCTTCACATTTGTTAACCTTGGAAAAGTCACCCAACCTCTCCTGGTCTCCGTTTCTTCCTTTTCTAAAATGGGATAACTGTGGCTACCCTGCAGGGTTTCTGTGGAAATTAAATAACACAACACACACAGAAACATTGTGGCAAGATTTTGTCAACTGTAACATATGTGTTCCATGATTAAACTGAGACACAATTGTATTCCAGGACGAAAGTTCTAAATGAAGAATGTTAACACGATGCTTCTGGGATCTGAAGCACTTACCTCTGGGGGTCCGAGGTCGAAAACTTCTTCCTATTCCCCCCCAAAAGAGATAGCACTACTGTATCTAAAAATAGCACTTATCCACACTCCCCACTGGCATGACTGACTTACCCGTGTCACAAACTTTATGCAGCAAGCACTTATCTTCTTCATTCCAGGTGTCTAAGTATTCATCTGGGCCACAGGGCAAGCATACACTTTCCGAGGTAGTAGTGCATTTAGAAGACATGTACTTTCCTTCAATTAGAAGAAAAAAAAATGCAGCAATGAAAAATAACCCCCAAAATAACAACAGAACAACAAAAATACAGCAATCTACTGGACCATTTAAATGACTGTGACCCCAGGAAGTCCCCTCACACAGTATGATACACGGGATGAGGCCATATATCAGTGATGGGCTCCTCAGGTCTCCCAGCTGGCTAAAATAACCTCTCCTAGGGGCGCCTGGGTGGCTCAGTCAGTTAAGCGTCTGCCTACGGCTCAAGTCATGATCCCAGGGTTCTGGGATCGATCCCCTGCTCAGCGGGGAGTCTGCTTCTCCTTCTCCCTCTGCCCCTCCCCCTGCTTGTGCACTCTTGGTCAAATAAATACATAAAATCTTTTTTTTTTTTAATTAAAATAACCTCTCCTAAACTTGCTGTGTCTATGGTCAAGGCCACCTTTTAGTTCATCTCAGTAAAAGATCATCCTTCCCACCCCACACCTCCGCTGACCAAGGAAAAGGATGATGGTTTTCAAACGTGCCTAAAAAACTTGAGGGGCAAGAATTTCATTTTACCCCTTCCCTCCCATCTTCAATATCCCCTCTACTTCAATTTGGAGTGTAAACTTCTTTTGTCCTACATCTACTGTGGGCCCTCGGTTAACAGAAGGACCAGAGTACCACACACACACACACACACACACACACACACACACACACACACACACCTGCACGCTCACAAAAATCACTGGTCTTGGTTCTGTACATCTGAGAAATATTTATAGCTTGAATATCTAAAGGATCTTGATGTAATGTAACCACCGTTTCTAGAACAATAAGTGAGTGAGGAACCTGCGGACTTTCACTGAGGCTGTAGAAATCCTCGGCTACATTCTGGCAATGCAGATAGGAGGAGGTAACCAGTCCACCTGCCTCTCAACAGGTATGTGAGAAGGTATAATAGGGTTTAGGCAATTTGCAGCAGCAAAAACTCCAGTATGGTTATTCCCCCCAGAATTTTTTCTGTAAAATACTTTTAAATTGCATTTTATATGTCAAAAGTTTGAATTGCAAAGTGCTAAAATAAGGTTTTTGGTTTTTTTTAAAACCTTGCTTTCTCAAGAAATAGTATTTTGGAAAACTGTATTCCAGCATACATTAAGTACTAGTTTCTGCAACTGCTTTTAAGTGATTTTTATCTATTGAAAGGTTTTTATCTTCAGGGTGACACACATTACTACCTGCCACTACCATAGAAAGTCTACACAATTTCTTTTTTTTTTTAATCTGGCAGGATTGAAATTATTCCTTGGATTAAAAAAATAAATAAATGAGAGCCCCACCCACTTTTGAGGAACAAGGAAAGGTGGCTCAGAAATACAAACCTGGTTCACATTTATTACAGCATCGTCCGAAATGCTCATAATGCCTCTCACGGGTACACGGAGGGGTGATCTGAAAAGTTACCTGAAGAGAAAATTGACATCAGGTAGAGATTTTGTACAAGTCCCTTCTGGATAAAATAAAAAGTGAATCACTGAATTCCATTTCTGAAAAGCATAAGAAAATACCATAAACAGTCCTGAAACTGCTCTGTGTGATATTACCTCCCCCCAAAATGTCACTTTCCTACACTACCCATTCCCCACTAAGAATGTATAAAGCCAACTGATACTGGCTTAAAAATCCATTAAAGCATTTAAAAATATTCTGGTTATGGGGCACCTGGGTGGCTCAGTCAGTTAAGTGTCTGACTCTTGGTTTCGGCTCAGGTCATGATCTCAGGGTCCTGGGGTCGAGCCCGGCATACTGCTCTGCGCTCAGTGGGAAGTCTGCTTGAGGATTCTCTCCCTCTCCCTCTGCCCCTCCCCCCGCTCATGCTCTCCCTCTCTCTTCCTCTCTCTCTAAAATAAATAAATAAGTCTTTAAAAAAATATTCTGGTTATGCTCATGGTAATATGATGGATTATGGTCACACGGTGGACAAATGCTCATCTACTTTGGTCACAAAATTGTAGAACACAAGGAGGACCCTTCATATATGTATTATATACCAGGGATGTCAAATTTGGTCTTACACACTTATCTCTGATTTTTAAAAAGTGTTTAATACTGCTTACCTTTTAAAATTTATTTTTTTAAAGATTTTATTTATTTATTTGAGAGAGAGAGAGTGAGAGAGAACATGAGAGGGGAGAGGGTCAGAGAGAGAAGCAGACTCCCCACTGAGCAGGGAGCCCGATGTGGGACTCAATCCTAGGACTCCAGGATCATGACCTGAGCTGAAGGCAGTTGCTTAACCAACTGAGCCACCCAGGCGCCTCTACCTTTTAAAATTTAAACATGCATAGGATTTTTTAAAGTGGGACAGCAAGGTGTCATAGGAACCCTGCAGGGTTGGAGCTCAGAGTCCTGGCTGAGGGAGTCCTCACCGCCTGCTGGCTGAGGGGAACCCCCCTCCCCGACAAGCTGCTTAAGCTTTTTGAGCCTGTTTCATTTCTGTATGATTCTAGTACAATATAATTTCCAAATCTGCCCGTCTACGTGAAACAAAACAAAACAAAAAGCCAAGTCCCCTGCAGTCACTCAGAGATTCTTATCACTTTGCCACAGAAAAGCTCTTCTCTGCATCAGCTTTTCCAGATGAGAGAAACAACAACAGTCCTGTTGACAGGCGGTCACGCTGGACACTGAGCAGTGCAACTAGCCGACCAGCTGGGCCTGGCTGAACAGACATCAAATGCTGCTGACCAAGGATCAAGTTCCCTGCTGGGTCTCAGGGATCCAGAGTTACAAACCTTGCCCTCAAGGGGCTTACACACACCAGGGGGTTTACTACCCTACCCTCCCCCCGCCCCCCTGCAGGGGCAGATGGGCCCCTACCTCAGCTGGAGAAGGTCAGGGAGTGTGTCCTAAGGGATGTGACAAGTGAGCTCAGTCTGCAGGATAAAGAGAAATCGGCCAGAAGAGGGAAAAGAAACTGGCAGGGGGAAGGTGGGGGAGGGGCATGGAAGACTACTTAAGACCATGTGAACAATTCAAACAGAGGCACTGGGGCCTGCAATGGTATGTGGGATAGGGGTGGCAACAGAGGCCCATTAGCAGAGTGGTGGGAGACAACACAGAGCTCACAGAGGGCTTCATTGGCATACTGGATTGAAGGTGTAGAAATAACAGAGCTTAGAAGAAGCCATGCATCCTAAAATACCTCAGTTACAGGAGGAAATTTTATTAAGAGAGCACCACACCCCAAAAACCCTAGGCTAGTTGAGTGGGGTGTGAGGGACACAGCCAACGTGGACCTCTCTGACCCCATCCTGGCCAGGCAAAGGGCTTACGGGGTGGGGGTGGGGGGGATGGGGCAGGGACAGTTACACTGAGGTCAATGAGAAGGTCAAATGTGTTCCTGGAGCCAGCTGTGTCAGGAAGGTTGTCTTTGGACCAGGTCGGGCCGACACTCCCCGTGGACACGGGATACTGCGAATTGGATGCTCTCCATGCCTTCACTGCAGGATGAGAGCTGAAGGACAAGAACAGTGAGCCCAGTGGAAACTAGCAAGAATGACCCAACAGAAATCACCCCTCCTTCCTCTTCTCTTTGTCTTTTTGTTTTTACAGGAATCCGCTTCTCCGTAGGCACCCCTTGTCTGCGTCTAGGACGGTACCGGATGCACGTGGAAGAAAGATGAGCAGAAGCAAAATGGTAAAGCTGAATGTGGTCAATGCAAATTTGAACAGATCGGATTCCTCTGAGCCTAATGATAAGCGAACGCTCCTGCCACGTTGATGACAAAGGCAAACAAGAGAAATATGTGGTTGGGCCTCATTTCAGATGATAAAGGTTATCAATTTCTTCTGACCCATATGAAAGTTGCAACAGTCTCTGTAAGATAAGCACAGGCTTTATGTTACACACAGAGAGGTTCTTTTTAGGGGAATTTGGTAAGAGGGCTACCCCATGTAGCGGCTGGCTGCTTAGCACGCTGTCAGGCTTCTGGCTATGTCCTGGGCTCCAAATCCTGGCTCCTGTTGAGCACCATCTGAAGTGAACAGGTGGACAATTTGTTTACCTGTTTAGGAGTGTGGCCGTGATCCACTCAACCCATTGTTTAACCCGGGGGTTTTACACCTCCTGGCAAACAGGGGGAAGTCTACTGATTCCAGAGGTGACCAGATGTCTCAGCATCTCCTAAACAGAGTTTCACAGACTGTTCCTTAGAACTCATCTCTCTCTCCTAAGCTTACTGTGAACATATAACTCACATAAAATTCACCCTCTGAGAGGGTACATGTCAGTGGTTTTCAGTATATTCACAGGGCCGTGAAACCACCACTGTTATATAATTCTGGAACATTTTTATCAACCCCAAATCGACATATCTACTTGACAGAGCTATAGGATTACAGATCTTTTAAGAAGCAGCACCAATTTTGCTACTGGAAAATCTGCAATGGTGAGGCAGAAAATTAAGGTATTAATCTAATTTGAGGTACAACTCAAACAGAATGTTATTTTGTTCTTTAGGCACATTATATACTTTGCAGTATGCCTTCAAACCTTCAAAATGGCAATGCATCTACAACTTAAAAGGCTACATTAAAGGAAATGTGTTTGGGGGTAAATAAAAAGAATCTGGAAAATTCTCTTTGAATGCCTGTACATTCAGGAGAAGGCAAGCCACGCCTTTGTCCTTTTTCCTCTTCCTTCCTAGTTCTCTCTACCAACTAACTTTCCCTCCACTTGCAGAGATGCAGCTCCAGGCTGAACCCTCGTACTAGAGGACTCTGCAGCTCCCCAGACCTGCGGCGGCTGCCTTGTGCTGGTCTCACTCCGATCCCACGCTCCACTCCCAGGAACAGGCTCCAGGCTGCTCTCTGAATCGCAGTACCTGTGTTTGAACGATTAGGAAATCCAGATCTCTGATTTGCTGGCCTGTCTTGTTTCTGCTGGTCCCCTGGGGACTTGTCTCAAGGTGCTGCAGGCCAGACTGGCTCTACCTGCCTGCCTCCCAGCTTCCAAGTCCCCGAGTCCTGCCTGCTAGGGCTTGGTTTCCAGTTAGCCTGCGCTAGATCTCCTTTATGCACTGGAGCTCCTGTATGCCAATCTCCTTCCGCCTGGATGCCTTGCCAGGTACATCCTTTGAATGCCATGTTTGGGTGTGAATGAATGGATGCCCACTAGCCCCTCCCAGTTCCATCCCTCCTTTTGCCTACAGATTTTGGTCCTGATGTCTACCATCTCACCAGGCCCCTGGAGTCCCTGCTGGTCCTCAAGCCTTCCCTTCCAACTGCTCAGAATTGGGGCCTAACTCCACCCTCCAAGACCAAGCTCTCAATGGTTGAGAGGTGGTGGCTGTTATTACTGATAGCAATGGTAGCAATTTGATAAAAAGCTGTTCCTGCTCCAGTGTTACAGAATAGGGGAATACGGACTAGGGGAATTTAGCCTAAGGCTGCAGTCAGTGGGGTGATTTCTTAGCCCACCTACAGTCTCCTTTTTTGCTCAAGATGCAAGAGCAAAAGGCTTTTGGTAACTGAATTGAGATACACAACCTTTTAGTCATCTAATCTTTTTTTCCCCAGTTCTCCTTTAAGAATGACTTGTTTCCTTCTAAAACAATAGAGCTTTTGAACCGTCGCTGTTTTCATTAAACAAATAAAGCGGAACCACTTTTTAAATTTCTAGTTATTAGGGGCACCTGGGTGGCTCAGTTGGTTGAGCGTCAGACTCTTGGTTTCGGCTCGGGTCATGATCTCAGGGTCGTGATCTCGGGGTCGTGAGTTCCAGGCCCATGTCCAGCTCCACACTCAGTACTGAGTCTGCTGGAGATGCTCTCTTCCTCTCCCTCCCTCTTCCTTCTCCCTCCCCCTACACTCCCACAGCCGCTCTCAAGAAAATGTCTAGTTATTAAATAAAGAATACAGTAACGTGACACAAAATTCAAAAGTAACAACAGGCTTTGGGGGAAGTCGCCCTGCCGCCCTTCTCCCAACCACTTCTCCTAGTAGGATCAGTGCGACCGTTCCCTTGTGCATCCCTGGGCAGGTGTAGGGGAGAACTGACCTGTGATCCACTGGGGAAACTATTCTACAAAACAACTGCTCTGGAGGCCAGCCTGGGATCAGGTCTGTTTGTAGCACTTGTGCTTGGGGAATACAATGGTTCTTATAAGTCTTAATGGGGGGAAAAAGCCAAAAAAACAGCCGTGGGGACGCCTGGGTGGCTCAGTCGTTAAGCGTCTGCCTTCGGCTCAGGTCATGATCTCAGGGTCCTGGGATCGAGCCCCGCATCAGGCTCCCTGCTCCTTGGGAGCCTGCTTCTCCCTCT